CACTCAAAAACAAAATCCACACAAGCAATATTTGGTGTCCTAAAAGCATTAAACATAAAGACCAATAGTGAGAGGAATTTAATTTTTATTTTCTAAAGGCAGACTATGATACCCTTGATTAAATGGCAAGCTATGATGTCTAGTAATATTGCACATACTTAATATATATTTTCAACCAATTAACCACCTTTGGTTTGTTACATCATATTATGATTTATATGAGTTTTTCTATTTCATTTCCTTTCGCCTTACTTCCCCTATTTCTATCTTTACCTTCTCACATTTCACTACACTACAGCTTAGCCCTATAAAATACTTCTTTAACTAAGTAGATGAATGGTATTTCTACTTATATACAATATTTTCTGAAAGAATTATTGAAAGATCAACTATTTATTCAACTTTTGGTTTTAAAATGCCCATATGCAATTTGAAACACAAAATTCTTCAGGCTAATGGAGAAAAGAAATATGCTGATCTGACTATCCATTGATGCTTTTTTTTTTTTTTTTGTAAGCACTGGCAAGCCTTTTCTTATCTTTAGCTTAGAGATCATAGCAAATCAAGGGAAAATAAGCTGGGCAGAAAAAAAAGGGGGAGATTGTGTTAAATGTTCTGTTACCTTAATAGGGATTTGGGCTACACAAGTTTGTCATTTGCTAAAACTCAGCTAATGTGCACCTAATATTTGTGCACTTCACTATATGTAAATTTTACATATGAAATAAACAAACAAAAATTGTAAGGAAATATTGAACTCTAGCAACAATCTAAGGGTAGATTTAGGTGGTAGATACACTGAAATTCTTTCAACTTTGGTATAGGTTTGAAAATTTTCCTAATGTGATAAAACTAGATAGTGGGAGTGGTGTTAGTATAAATTCTGGACTCTAGTGTAAATCTTCGCAAAGGGTTCCCACTTAAATAAACCACATAACTAAACCTTGCCCCCAGGCCTGTGAATACTTCCTTGCTTTATAGGCTTTCACACACAAACAGCTCTGCTTTGGTAGTAGGTAATAGTGGTTGGTAAACACTGGTTTCAGAAGTTGCAATATTAAATAGAACTACTGGGGATTACTCAAAAGGGAAGTACAGTGGGTTGGGGTTTAGAGACTTCAACTATTCAAAGACAAGATACTAACAAATGTGCCTCTTCATGCTGAAGTTTCTGAGTGAAACAGTGATTCTCAAAGGAGGAGGGGGAGAAGGAAGCAAATCAGAATCACACCTGGGGGACTTTTTCAAATGATAAGTACCCCTGGAGATTCTGATAAGCTCCCAAATCCCAGGAAAGAATCACTGTCATAACATAATTCTACTACTCTTATAATTCTGTTGTGCTATATAGAGAAAAGTTAAGAGCTACTGGTATGAAAATATATACATACATATAAAAATATATATACATATATATACATTTCTATGGAAATTGAGGTGATGGTCATATTCGACCTGTTTTAATCTAGCAGATAGTAAGAACACAACTCACCTGACAATTTTCATCACCAAGTACTAAGATTCTAGACCTAAGTAAAGCTGTTCAAATGAAGACATGTTTAAGCAAATGATAAGATTTGTTTTCCCCTCAGGTAATTTACTTACTATCATATATTAGATGTAATTGGGAGAACAATAGAGGGATATTGATTTGGGAGAAAGATTTAGACTTTGCCTTATACAGATTAATATAAAAATTACATGACATTCAAGTAATGGAAAAAAACCAAAATGAAACAGTACCATCAGACACATTAAAACACTCCCCCTCCAACCACTTCTCACACCTAATACCTGAGGAAGTCATTACAGATTAACAGCATTTAAGTTTCAATTGAGGGCCTTGCTGAGCCTCATAAGTAGTAAATTGAGAAGGAACAAGGACACAATGGCCAAGCTGATCATAAGAATCACTGAAGCCAGGCAGAACATTTTTTGAGCTGAGCTTTTAAAATCAACAAATCACAAGAGTTTTTTGGTTTTTGTTTCAATGATATCAGAGCATAAATAGCAAAAGGCCAGTAAGGAAGAAAACACTCAGCAGGATGAAAACTCAGTATCTAGAATTTGGCCCAAAAAATAAAAGTAAAACAGGAATTCAATCTTTATGATCTTCAAAATTAGTATCTCAAATAGTTGTATAGGAAGCAGAAATCACATGTGGAATAAGTAAAAGG